TTTACAACTGTAAATAGAGTGAAAGCGAGCTTTTGCGCTCTCTCCATTACTCTCTTTGCCTGCAATCAGATATCCAAGTGCACTGCGAGAATTGCACACTTTAGGCACCCATAAATCATAAATGTTCTTCTAATTTAAAGTCACACATTCAAACCGGTCTATACTTGCATGATACACGTCCAAAGCGTACCAGACTACTGTTTCCGTGTTGCTCCCGTTTGACGCGTGACTGCTGAAAATGTCAATTACAACTAGTGGTGCAAACCGCCATGTATCCTGGAAAATTTGTGGTATGTTTCAAGAGGTGATAGAAGGTCTGCTTGGCTTACATCAGGCGTTTGACCACTCACAAACTTGCCACCCGCCACCCAAAAAAGATCGCTTTTAGGTGCACTTTTGGACGAGTTTTGTCATGGTAGTAATATCGACATGCTTAGAAATCAGTGCATTAGGGATTAGGCAGACCATCCGAACTGAATTTAATCATTTTTGAAGCAATCCATGGTCGAAAATTTAATTGAACCCCACTATAAAATAGTGTATTCATGGTCACATGTGGTCTGGAGTAAAGAAGTACATACAGCTATAATGTGACCATCAAATCTATAAAAATCTGAACACATTTTTTAAAATTAATTACACCTGTGTCGTGCACATGTTGCACATGTGGACGCGACGTCACTGCTTCATATGTCTTCAAAAATCTTCACAAAACATGAAATGTCTTCAAAATGTCTGCGAAAAATAAGAGTCGTCACGGGATATAAAATGTCTTCAAAATGAAAACATGGCATCTCTGGCCTCAAATGTCAAAAATCAAAACAAAAGTATCCTTTGAAAGAACTCCCGTTTACTTTTTAAACGGGACGTATCTGCTTTTGTAAACTATTAGCACTCCTTCACAAACAATCAACACCATATTGTTGAGGAAACGTTACTCTTTCTGATGGTGTTTTTAGTTTGCGTGACTGTTAATAGCTTCGAAAAATTGACGTTTGAATCTTTGTTTACAAAGTAAAATATTTCCCTTTGAAACAGTTATCGGGAACTGCTTATTTTTTAAAGGAATCAAAAACTTCGGCCTAATGACCCAATCAGCTTAACGCACTTTACCCTAATGACCCAGTTGGTTTTAGCAGTTCCACGCCAAATGGTGAATCGCTCTGATCCGACCTTCTCCGAATGGCACGATGCCTTGCAGAATTATTTGTTATGGTCAATGTTGCATATGAGCGAAAATTCGCAAATAAGTTCAAAATGGCGTATTCGATCCCAAGTAGCATTTTTGGTTTTATGAGGGTTCTGTAGACCACGATTTAGACTTGTAGATTGCTTTAAAACCTCGATAAAGCTTGCTTGGGATATTTGTTAACAAAGCATCCCATCGAAATGACGTTTGAAACAAAGTTTTAGGAAAAGATTAATCCTTTTCAATAATTTTAAGTAAACAATTGAAAGAAGTTTTTTAAACGAAAATAGCAAAAAAAAAATACCATCTTCAATATTGTTTGAGTATTATTATTACTATGTATCATTAAAAAAAAACTTATGAAAATACTATCTTTTGTGAAACTTCAATGTTGGATACTTAAAATTAACAAGAATCATAGAACACATTTTTTTAGACAAATTTAAGATCATCTAGTGTAGGAATTTTGCATAGAAAAACACTTTTACGACTTGAAAAATCGTTTTCTGTGCAAAAATTTGCAATATAATTTATAATCAATATGTTAAAAAGTTTCACTAAAAGTTTTTGTTTCAAAATTTTTGTTAATTTCTATATGATGAACATTTCACAAGGTTTTTTTTCCTCATCGTTGCCCACTGGTCACCATACACGGTCGAACTCCAGACGAATCTAGAACCGCATTACCGTTCATACTGGCAACAACGCTCTGTTGAGACAACCAAACCCCACCTCCAAGCTCCTCCCCTGATCCTATCCTTCGACTATGTACACGACACTTTTCTTTGGTTTTTTACTCAAAATGGCTAGAAATTTTTTAAGAGTGTATTTTTGCTGAGAATATTTTTTTTTCCTATAATTTTGTGTCAGACGTCATGTCGATTGGATGTGACATTTTCGAGGTATGATTTGTTGAAAAATATCAAATTCGCCATTTTTGATTTGCTTGATTCAAAATCACTGAATTTTACCAAATATATATGAATAACCATAACAAACAATTATGCAAAGTTTCAGGCAAATCTGAGAAGGTTTCATATTCTTTTTTTTTTTTGCTATTTCGTCTGGAGCTGTGGCCTACCGTACTTCGTCCCAGGCATGGTAAATCATTTACATTATTTTCGTATATTCATTTACATTTATTTACCTCTAACTTTACATCAACAGAATTCCTTAAAAAGATGTATGAAGTTTTTTTAGGCTTTAATATTAGCCACAACTTCTGTGAATACTTCAAATTTGAATCTCTTATATATGACGAATTAGAGCGGAAAGAATTTGTTATTGTTTTTCAATAAATGTAATTTACTTTCACTGAGAAAAAGTGGTGGGCTCTATTTGCATTAGTTCATCATGTATAAGAGGTACATAAATGAGTTATTCACAAAAGTTGTAGCTAATATTACACCTACATACACATAATTTTACGGAATTCTGTTGAAGAAAGAAGCGAAATTAATGCCAATGATTTTCCATGTCTACTTTGGCCTATTCTAGTTTGGCCTACCGTATTTTGGCCTATCGTATTTTGGCCTATCGTCCTTCGACCTATCGTCCTTCGGGGCGATGGGGCGAACCCTCCCAGCCCCAACTATGGCAACCCCAGGATTGCTCTAAGCATTAACGATCATATGTGTTCGGTTTGTTGCACTAATGCTTATAGCCTGAGTACTGCGAACTAACTCAAAATGCTTGTCATCCTGGAGCCGAGTCAAACTGTCAAACGGGAGCCAAACCTTCAAAAGAGCTCAGAAGTCACGTAGGTAGTTACTGTTTGAGCCACAAGTAAAGGTGTAGCCACCTACTGAAAACAAATTAAGAATTATAATTATGAAACTGTCGAAACATCAACCTTAGTAGGCGGATAATGTAAATCATTGAGCGTGATGCTCGAAAAAGTGTTTTTATTTGATATTAATAATGCCAAAACTGGGTTACTGAAACCAGAATGTAATCAAACTTTATAAGAGTCATGTGAGCTTTGTGGGCAGGTGCAATCCCATCACCATGTATACGTTATATCTGGAGCAGAGGAGGAGGAGCTAAGAGTTCATTTGACAGCATATACAATTTCGTGAGCTGTTTCAGAAAAACAATTTGAAAAAAAAATCGGCTGAGTTCGCAGTACTCAGCTTGTAGCATCCTCTTTTGTGTTGAAATAACACTTGTGAATTAGAAAAGTCTCGCACAACTTTTCAAATAGACCAATTTATCAAATCTCTTCATCTCATCACCTCTTTGGATCGCCATGGCCGTGTACAGACATTTGCTGAAATGCTCGACGCACAGTTCAGTGATAGAAATTATGATCCAGCATCCAATACAAAAAATACATCAGGAAACGAGTATGTAACCGAGTTATTAACGAAAGAGAAAGTCGATGAAGAGAATTGATAAAATTGGTCTATTTTAAAAGTTGAGCGAGAAGTCTATTCGTGTCAATCTCGGTTCTCCAAACTTGGTTTTTTTTTTCTTCAATCTGCTGGAATAACGGGCTAAATGTTAAATCTCGTATTCGGTCCTCGAAATTCTACCGATGCTTCTACCCAAGTAACCACCAAGCCCGTTAATAGCCCCATAAGGGCCGTTTTTGCAATATAAGGCTGATATACGGCTATACATTTTTAAATTAACCTTATATCCGCTTTATATTGCACTTTTCGTAATAGTGGGCTTGATGGTTGCTTGGGTACGCTGGACTACAGTCCAACCAACTTCACCGCGAGCATACACATCCACAATTTAGCAGTATTCACAGACCAGTCTGTCCGTTTCTGATTGAAATCGATGGAAAATCTATTTTTATTATTTGTTTCGATAAAGTTTTCAAATTCCCATCACCAACTAAAGGAACACAAAATCAACGTGAAATAATGATCTCTGAATGACCAAGTGTTAGTGCGTATCTTCCACTTATATCTTGAATCATTTTGTTTGCACTATCACGTGGGAATTCAGAGAGCTCTGATCTCTATGGCGGCCACCGACAACTACGCCTTTTTTTAAATCAATATCTAGTATTAGATGCAGCAGCAACATTGATTCGGAACGATTTTTTTTCCAAAATAATCAATGCGTTTGGACTTATTCGAATTATGTTTTATGCCTAATATCTTCTCCAACATTGATAATGGTAGGATCTGCAATAAAAAAATCTAAATATTCAATATGACCTTAACTACAGTGTTAGCGCTTCCTGAGTCTGTGGCCTTTGCTGCTCCGGGAGGTTTCAGCGGTTTGGCCGGCTCTGCTGGTGGCGTAAACCTGAGGAAGGATTTCCCCGAGTCGTGGATCTGGGACAGTCTAAATGAGGATCAAGGGTTGGTACTTTGTCTGAATTGATATCAGTATTCGGCTTTTGCAAATTTCTAAATTAGCGTTGCATTATATTTAGTTGAAATGAAATCTAATATGGTGGATGGTAAGACGATTAATTCTTCAGTTTATAATAGTTTTGTTTTGACATACGTAACATACGTGAACTTTTGACATAAGTAATCCTTTCTTTTAAGCATGAACTAGGGCCTGCGTTTTATTCGAAATGTAGCGTAGGATCACACATGTGATTAATTTCATTTAGCAACTCTATCTCCGCAATTTATGGAGAAGTACGGCCAACGATGTTGAGCTATGGCTGACATTTTCTTTAAAATAGAAAATTCTTTAAACAAAACTCTATTTATCACAAATGACGTCACACTTTGCTCCCTTTTTAATCCCCGTGTCAGCGGAGGCACGGTAAGCCTCGGCTGCGCACTCCCCATTATATCGCAAACTGTAATTACCAAAGTCATCACCAAATTCTTTCCAGCAAATGATACCGCCAGCCGGCTGCCTCCGATCACGTACAAGGTACAGCGGGCTCCGGACGGAACTCCGCTGTACACGGTGATTGAGAAGAATCCCCGCTTCCTGCCGGTGCACGAGTTCAAAACCAACACTCGACCACCGCTGGCCGGGCCGTTCGCGTTCAGTCGCATCCCGCGGCCCCATCGGGACATTCCACGGGTGTTCCTTTCCCGCGAAATTGCCGACACCTGGTTGTTTGAGAATGCCTACTCGGGGTAAATATCACGTTGGCAGAGGCGAGGACGCATTCGCAAAACTAATTGGCGTGTTAATCCAAATTTGTTTTTTACCCGTAACCAACATTAATTGAATGCGCTGCTGTTGCTGCTGCTGCCGCTAATATTGATCACACCGCACAGGAAGGGATGATCGTTTAGATCGATCCTTTCCGTTCCCCACAGAGAATTCTAGGACGATGGTTTAGTAACCACTGCCACTAAATCAATGAAATCGCATAACAATATGCCGCTGATAGATAATGAAGGTTTTACTTCGAATTGTTTCAAACTGGGATGGGTGTGGGACTTTGTTGCACTGGTGGTTTGTAAGCTTATTGCATTGTTGTTACTACGTAGCATAGAAATTTCCGTACTAACGTAATCTAGCATGAATGGTGATGTTGTGTCTTTGGGTTCCTGTAATGTAATGACCTAACGTGCATGCTACAGTTTTAGTTTTGTGTGACATGATCTTCCGGATTGGATTCAAGTACTAATTCAAATTTTCCTACCATGCAACACAGTTTCTCGGGTGAAAAGACCATCACCAAAAAAGTTCCCGATACCATCACCTCCTGGATAATAACTGGCTTTTCGGTGAGCCCAGTTTACGGACTTGGTTTGACCCGACAGCCGAGGAAGCTAAACGTCTTCCTGCCGTTCTTCGTATCCACCAATCTACCGTACTCGGTCAAACGAGGCGAGGTCGTGTCGATTCCGATCGTGATCTTCAACTACATGGAATCGGATCAAACGGCCGATGTGACCTTCCACAACACCGAGCAGGAGTTTGAGTTTACCGACGTGGAGAATGAGGTTCATGAAAATGCTAGTAAGTGACCTTGTTGGTAGTTAACTTGACTCACTTCATCAGTGGGGTTTATTTGTTCACAGAGCTAGAACTGTTCCGCAAAAAGAGCATCCACATTCCATCCAACAGCGGTAAAACGATTCCGTTCATGATCAAACCAACTAAGCTGGGTCACATTACAATCAAGGTTACGGCCACTACCCCGCTGGCAGGAGATGGCGTTGAGCGTCAGCTGCTCGTAGAACCAGAAGGACTTCCGCAGTACGTTAACAAGGCGTCATTTGTCGATCTGCGTGCTACACCGGAGGTGAACAACAATTTCACGGTGGAGATACCGAAGAATGCCGTTCCGGACTCAACGCGTGTTGAAATTGCCGTTATCGGTAAGTTTTTTTTCCAACTTCCCATATCAACTCCTCGATCAACCATTTATCCCAATTGCAGGTGATGTCCTGGGGTCAACCATCCAAAATCTGGACTCACTCATCCGCATGCCATACGGATGCGGAGAACAGAACATGCTGAACTTCGTACCGAACATTGTCGTTCTGGATTATCTGAAGAACACCAACCAGCTTACGGCAAACATCGAAGGAAAGGCGAAAAAGTTCATGGAAGCTGGCTATCAACGGGAGCTCACCTACAAACATGACGACGGATCGTTCAGTGCTTTCGGAAAATCTGATCCCAAGGGTAGTACCTGGTTGACTGCGTTCGTTGCTCGTTCGTTCAAGCAAGCTGCCGAACACATTAGCGTAGACGAGAAAATTATCGACAAGTCTCTGGAGTGGCTCAGTGATCAGCAGTCTCCCAACGGAAGCTTCCCGGAGGTCGGTAAAGTTTCACACACGGATATGCAAGGTGGATCCGGTCAGGGAATCGCTTTGACTGCCTACACGCTGATTGCGTTCCTGGAGAACAAAAATCTTATCACCAAATACCAAAACGTCATCAACAAAGCTCTGGACTACATCGTTCGGAATACGGAAGGGTTGGACGATAACTACGCTCTGGCAATTGCGGCGTACGCCTTGCAGCTGGCTGATCATAGCAACAAAGACTACACTCTATCTCTACTGGACACGAAGGCCACAACCGATGATGATCAAAAATGGTGGAACAAGCCAATTCCGGAAGCCGATAAGAAGAATCCTTGGTATGGCAAGCCGAATTCCGTCAATGTTGAAATGTCCGCTTATGGAATGCTGGCTTTCCTCGAAGCAGGACTGGACAGTGATGCCCTGCCGATCATGAAGTGGTTGATCGGGCAACGTAACGACAAGGGTGGATTCCAGTCCACCCAGGATACCGTCGTAGGTCTACAGGCACTGGCCAAGTTGGCCGCGAAGATTACTTCCAAAAACAACGACGTCACCATCGTTGTCACATACAACGACAACCAACAGAAGGAAATGAAGGTCAACACGGAGAACAACATGATCTTGCAGAAGTTTGAACTACCACCGTCGGCGAAGGACATTGACATCAAGGCAACTGGAAAGGGATTCGCCATTGTTTCGTTGGGCTACAAGTACAACATGAATGTCACCGGAGAGTGGCCGAGGTTCGTACTGGATCCTCAGGTAAACAAGAACTCCAACCAGGACTATTTGCATCTCACTGTGTGCACGAACTTCGTTCCAACGACCGGACAGAACAAATCCAACATGGCCGTCATGGAAGTGGGCTTCCCCAGCGGTTTCACCGCCGATTCGGACACACTTCCCTCGCTGGAGAATATGGAATACATTAAGGTAAATTCGTAATGATTTTGGTGGAGTCTCGCTGTTCATTAGCAACAATTATTCAATTGCAGAAAGTGGAGTTGAAGGACGGCGACACGATCGTTGTGATGTACTTCGATAGCTTAGACCGTAACGAACTGTGCCCAACGGTTTCCGCTTTCCGAACGCATAAGGTCGCCAAGCAGAAGCCTGCCCCGGTTGTTATCTACGACTATTATGATAACTGTGAGTTCTGATGCCCCGCCTGTTTTCGCAAGCCACATTTTGACCCTTTCTATGTTTCCAGCTCGTATCGCCCGGCAGTTCTACAATGGACCCGTCGCCGGACTTTGTGACATCTGCGAGGATGAGGATTGTGGTAATTCCTGTGCGATCCGTTCACAGAAGCAACGATCGCCAAAGGAAGCGGCGAAAGAGGAAGGATCGATTGGAGCGGCTGGTACCTTTGGGGCCGCTACTTTAGGTCTGCAACTGATGGTGGCTGCACTGTTGATGAAGCTGTTCAACTAAAGGTTTAGCTGGGCAACGAAATGGGCCGCTGTGAGTGGATGTAACTTGCAATAATCTTGCTAGAGTGGAGTAATAGCTGTGTGTACCTAGTGGAAGATTATTGTGATTTGATCTTTATTTTTAGGAATTTGCTCCAAAATTTTAGCAGTAAAATAAACTATGAAAACGATTTATGTTAGATGAGTTTTTTGATCCGAACTATTACGGAGAAGATGAGGTTTTCAACGGTGGGTGGTTTGCCGTCAGTATGGGTTTCAATTACTCACTTGCTTCAAGCAATCCATGTGATAGGCCATTCAATAATAGCTTAAGCATTTTGGGGAGGGGAAAGGCTCGAGGAAAAGGATGTTTGAAATTTGTACTATCTGCAAAAATGGGTCTAAAACTACTCAAAATTCAATATCTCAAAAGGACGCTGGATTTCTGTCATGAACAATAACTTTTCCGAAGGGCTTTAGAAATTTATATTTTGGACCTTTTCATCCTATTTTCGAGAACATATGTTTTAACTGCTTTAGTTTTCGTAAATCATTAGTGTTTTCTACATATTTTTTTTTGAATAATATGCCTTTATACAATAGTTCATAAAGTAGAGCGAATTGTAGGCCACAATAAATAGGGAATTAGAGGTTAAAGTGGATCCACGGTTCCTATTTTTTAAATGAAGAAAGGTGAAATTTTTTGGGTGACCCAATAAATTGTTCGCAGAAAAGTCAAAACTATTTTAGGAATTATAAGGTATTTTGGGGAAAACCTACTAATGTAAAGGTGAACTCGTTTCTATGAGCCCATTACTTTATACATTAGGTTTTGTTCGGGAAGCTGCCCATTATCTATCTTTACGTACGTTTCATCGTCCATGAGGATGCATCCTTCGTACTTTGTAAAAACCTAATTGTACAACCTCCGGGCACATCTTTTGGCCACTAGATTCTGCTTCAGTGTCCTGTTTGGTTGCTTACTGGCCCGATAAAATCGAAACAATTCTCACTGACGAATACTTCTGACGGTGTTTTGGCTGGCAATGAATTTCTTGACAATATCATAATCCGACAGTTCTGGGTTTGCCCTAACCGTTCTCAACACCTTCAAATACAACTTCCCATCCTTAGTTTCACCAACAATCTATACGAAACTAACGATTTTAAATTGGCTCACTACTTGACTAGCCTATTGGTCCCAAGCAAATCGACTAACGTACCCCATTCTAGTATAAATTCCAGTACTACACTATGTTTGTTTTGATTTGCTATGAAAGTTCGACAGATAAAATTAGGGGTTAGTGGATTTTCCTATTTTTCGAGGGATGAATCGATTAGCTTGGGACCGAAGATAGTACCAGAGCTGAGCCAAAAAGTAGAGCTCGTTTCTTCGGGACCTTCGGGTCTTAGAGTTACCTCTATGGTTCCACTACGACGCTTGCTATGATCCTGCCGGTTGATAGTATGCCGCTCACAGAAACGCTTGATAACACTGCACAAATAGTCGATTTTTGAACCAGACCACGTAGGATTTTCCGAGTGGGTGTCCAAAATTAATTTTCGCGGCTTCCATCAAGAATAACTTCTTTAAATAAAAAAAAAAAACAAATCTTTACGAACTTTTCAGCACTGAAAGAGGAAACATTTCAAAACAAACTGTAACCAAGTAACCAAAAGTTCTGATACATGGCTATTTGTAGCTTAAGCAGCTTGGTTGAAGGTGGTCTATAGAATTCTAAGCAGCCTCATTTTTAAGTCGTTATCAGAACTTGAAAGTTCCGGTACCATAATTGAAAAGCATTCTTAGCAGCTTCTGGCGAAACTTGAACGGAACTGTTAGAAAATGAATTAAAAGAAAAGGTTTTTGTCCTTTACACCAATTCTATATTTAGTTCGCACTGTTATGAAAGTTATTTCTAAAGGCAGGTATGAACGTGTATTGATTTATCAGCATTAGTAGTAGGATTGGAGCGCTTTAAAAAATTAAACCCAGTCCTTCTGCGTGAGAGCCCCAGCACGAACCGCTACGTCAGCTGAGATATATTAAAGTGAACTGTTGTCCTGCCTACTGTTGGAGTTTTCAGTGCCAGCTGACTGACTTAAATACGGAACACAACACCTTGATGAATTTTAAATTGGTGTTTGCCCGCATGGTATTCCAACACATTTTTGGCGCAGTGGTTAGCGTTCGTAGATCGCATGTCGAATTATTCGAATCCAGGAAATTACTTTTTAATTATTATTTTTTTATGTTTGGAAATATTTAAGAGTTATGATCCATTGATTATTTCATATTTACGTACATTCAATTTTGTTACTAATAAAGACTTGTGCGGATTGCTTCATGTGACTTGAAAGTCCTGTCGGAACTTCATTTGAACTTTATGGATTTTGAAAGTTCTGTCGGAACTTTATTTGAACTTTATGGAGCTTGGAAGTGATTTTAATCGTTGAATGCGGAACTTTTGGTTACTTGGGTCAAGCTGTATAGTTTGTGACTCAAAGAGTCAACTGGATATATTGACATTTGAATAGCGTAATATCAGAAATAAGGAATATGGTATGCAATTCGACTAAAAACCAAATTAAAAGTTCTGTGTTGTGACAAAATTTATGAAAATGGATAAGACATATGAACACGATTGCAGTGTTTTACAGGTATTTATTGACAAAAAATACCGAGTATACTAAGGTATTATAGGTCAGAGTAACAACAAGCGATTCAATATCCTTTCAATCTGCCAAGAGCTTAAACAAAATTGTAATTTGGTTTGATTAGATGAATTTGAAAAAATGGAATAAAAATATTTAAAATGATAGTATTACCACAAACGAAGTGACAGACGGAGCGGCTCGAAATTTGATTTGACGCACTTACATTTAAAATTTTCGAGTGTACCTCACGGCAACACTATCTACTCATATGTACTAGATTAAAGTACGGGGTACCACCTGTTATCTCTTTTTCTCTAACGAAAATTGAAAGGGAGAGCCTGTTGTCAAACAGCATGTCATTATGTCGTCTGCACTTCTTTTGTATAATAAAAGACCATAGGCCAAAATGATTAGGGGTAAACACATAGGGTTAACATTTGCTTACAAGTACACGATGTTGAGCAGTCAATGACTCGCGCTTGTTGCACCCAAGCTGCCTGTTGCATTATCAGTTTTGTCTGCTTCAGCTTCTTCTTTTTTTCTGCAGAACCAGACAGTGCGAGTACTGGTAGTTTTATCATGCCAAACCCTCGGCCAAACCAACCGGTGGAATACTAATCCGAGAGACGATTTCTTAGGCACGTTGCATTTGTCGCAGTAGATCGTCACTTGCCGGTGCATTTTCATGGTTATAATCACCGTGACAGTAGTGTCGTACAGATCGACCACTGGATCGATATCAACCCGATAGGTAAGGCCGGTATGCTTCGCGTAGTGGCGCTCCCTCATGTCGCGGGGAATCCTTTCCAAACAGGCGGCGCATTGAAACCATTGAAACGAATATGCGAATCGATCGGCTTCCAATTACTGCTGTGTGCGGCGTTTTCGTTTGGCATCTCGAACCGGTTCCGGAGAGGTAAAACATTTTCCGGTACGGGTGCGGGTAGTGGAGCTAACATTCGTATCGGAGTGGATGTCCCTGTCAAATTGGTTAATTGGACGAGATCATCGTCATCGACAAGTACCAGTTATCAAACTATCCAGTCATCATGCAGATGAAGTTTTCAACGGAGTAATCTTTTCCACCTATGCAGCACAAGCTCGGTTAACAAGCTAAGGTTCAAATCGTGCCGTATGACTCAAAAATTCTAATTTGAAGAGTTTTCCTAGACTCGGATCTTAATTATTTTGTAAGCATGAAATCTTAACAGCTGTTCGAAGTCTCAGAATTTTGAAAGCTATTTCTTCTTCTTCGCATTTCAAGCTTATTGCTTATGGCATATTAGCTTATTGCGTGCTCTCAACTTAGTGTTCTAGATGCACTTCCACAGTTATTAATTGAGAGCTTTCGATGCCTGCTACCATTTTTGCATTTGTATAATTGTGTGGCAAGTACAATCATACTCTATGCACAGGGAGTCGAGAAATATTCCAACCCGAAAAATTCCTAGACCGGACCGGGAATCGAACCCAGTCACCTCCAGCATGGTCTTGCTTTGTAGCTGCGCCTTTACCGACTGAAAGCCGAGAAAACTATTTGCTCAATCCTGCGTCCTAATCCTACGTAAGCGTAAGGGATTTTTAAAAGACCTGAAGACCTGGCCGGTAGCTTAAGTATCTATCCAAACATCGAAAAATTATGTAGTAGAGCCTTTTTTTTTTCAAAAGTTCTATTCCTAGTCCATCAAATTGTATTTCCGGAATCAAGAAATTTCCAAGCCCAGATTTTAGAGAAATTCTATGTCAAAATCATGAAATCTTTTATATATTTTAGAAACATTTAAATTTTTCTAGGACTGTGAAATTACATTCTTACATATTGTAAATTATTCTAGGTTTTCTTAATTTGTTTGTAATAATAATAGTGTTTGTAATGTCCAATATCTCTAAAATGTATACCAGAATCATGCTTGGCATACGCAGTTTTGGCTCATTTGCTAACAACTTTGCACACAGTTGACGAGACATAGTTCTTTTTGAAGCAGTCGATAGAATTGAGTTTAAGCTAGTTATAGATACGTAAAAAAAAAGTAGATTTTAATTCTAGTAATACACTGTATTTGTTTTTGCGTTGTAAAACTGAAGTGAGAAATTCTCACTGCACATCTCGGACTTTAAGTGTAAAAATTCATTGGTGTTGATTCAAATGTTAAGCTTTACCTACTCCTTGCATATCTATAGTTAACGATGATCCTAATCTATCAATTACTTTAAAAAAAAACTAATTTCAACAACTGAGTGAAAAGTTGTTAACAAATGAGCAGTTGGTGTGTACAACTGTGCATGCCAAAGCATGACCAGAATCTTACAACTATTTTCAAGATCAAGATTTTAAAACATAAACACATGTAATATTGTCTTTCTAAGTGAGACAATTTGTCTCGTTCCAGAATAATGATATTTTTTCTTGTACTACGATATAGAACAGTTATCTAGGTTCCAGAGATATGAACATTTGTCTATGTTCGAAGTTTTACAGAAGTTTCTATATTCGAGATCTTTAAAATGGCTTGTCTTAAAATTGACAAAT